GGGGCACTCCGGTCATTCTGTGAGGTCTGTGATGCTTAAAATAGAATTGCTGACAGCTGGGGTGGGCCTGAGTTCATTACCAGTACAGCTGAGCTGTTGCAGCTGTATGTCACCTAAGTTTAGCTGACTCATCCTGGCCGTCAGAAGAGCCCTGATGCTGCTGCTTGCTAGGGAGAGCAGTCCTGATGGTTCTGCAGTATTGCTTTTGTGATTCATGTAGATTGAAAGGATTGTATGACTAGGGAGAGAAAAATGGGAGACCTTCTCCTGAGTAGGAGTTTGAAGGGTATTGAAAAAAGAAAGAGGAAATTGGGGTTAGGGAGGCTAGGCCATGTGCTTTATGGGAAATTCATGGGAAAGAAAACAGCAGGAAGGGGGTTTTGATCAGGTAGTTTCCTGAGCTGGCCACCAGATTGCACTGTTGACTCTGAACAGTCTGGTTGCTTTGTGGAGCTGTCTTAAGATGAATAGATGAGAAGGAAGGCACTATGAGTAGGACGTTCATGTGTTGGATGTTTGTAACCTAAGGAGATGACCAGACAAGGATGAAATATAGGAGATATTCAAAATGAGCTCAAGATACTATTATTTACTGGTAGGTAAGTGTCTAAATTCTAAATAGTGGTCTAAACAGAGAATTCTAGAGCCATAGGGTGGCTTGGTCATGTAAGGAGATTTAAAGCCCTAAGGTTCATGTTAAAAAATTGTTCTTATTAAAGCTATGTGTTTTCTCTTATCCGGTTATTAAAGATACAATAAAAATGCATTTTATATTGAGTTTTTACTTAGAGGCTTTTGCAAATTTTCAATGAAATTTATTTTTTAAGAAAATGATCCTATAGCTTCTTGTCAAAATAAGTGACCCATACTCTATTACCTAATTTTTTTTCCCTAGCAGTTGGCCTGATCTTATCCCCATTAATGACTCTTAGTTTTAAATAGGATGAAGCTTCAGTTTTTACATGGAACTGTAATTAAATATTTTATTCTTCGTTGATATCAAAATAATCAAACGTCTCTTTTGTGCAATTTAGTCAGAAAGCTTTCAATTCTTTGAACAGCTATTATTTATATTTACTATACTCCCAACCCCTTAAAGTTAATTTCTACCAGAACAACCCTTTTAGAGCAATAGTAGGAAATAAGTGAGAAAAGGCCTTGATTGGAGTGAAGTTTCTCCATTTTGTTCAGTTGGTTCAACCTTGTTATGCCATATTTTGATACATACTAAGAATAAAATATAATAGGGCAGTATTATCCAAAGTGTGGATATTAATAGGTGTTATGAAAAAAATTTTTGGAAATGCTGGATTAAAGCACATTTGAACAGGTTTCTTTCCTGTAGAACTTCTTAGAACCTATGATTAATATACACCAATGGGTGCCATGAAACTCCAAGAAGGAAGAGATAGCCTGTAACTTTTCCTAAACACTGCTTGTCTGGCAGAACATGCCTACGGACCTGCTGTTCAGAGAACACACATTGGGAAACCTTGAAAAGTAAAATGAGTGCTCTCATTACTAACTGTTGATATGATTAATGTTACATTCTTTTAGGTTTCTTGAAGGCTTTTAGAGTCACTATATGGCATAAATTGATATATTAATAGCACCACCTTTACGTTTGGTTTTTGCCTTTATCCTTAAAAAGATTTGCCTTTGAAGATAAGCACTTATGCAAAGAAGATTATAAATTCAGATAATTCAGATTATTAATTCTTAAGAATTAAGAAGCAAATAATTTAGCCAAAGAATAGGTTTCACGATCCTCACCAGAGCTTCCATAGGAATACACACTTAAAAGAAACTACGGAAAAACCATTTTTGTTTTTCCTCTCATGAGTGCTTATGGAAGGCAACATTCCATTGGGAGCTATGGGGTAAGGAAACCTCTCTAGTCAGAGATCACAAGTCTGGGGCCCACAGGATAGATCTGGTCTGCAGTTAGTTTGGTTTAGGTGTACAGTGGCTTTAACATTTGAATTCTTTCTCAACATTTTAAAATCTTGAAGTTTCACATAAAAATCTGAATTTCTAGCTACTCTTGAAAAATGGAAAAATCTGACAGTATATTCACAAACGATAAGTACTTGCTGGAGCTGAAAAGTGTCTGCTTCCTTTAAAAGGAATGTTTTACTCCAGTGTGTCATTGCCTGCCTAACACCTGTTGTCCGGGTGGCTGATAAATTTATGCTACCTGTCCATCCCTATGGACATTTGGTTTTGCGTAACCCCTGCTATGAGGACATGGCATGGCTGAAGGGCTATGGGCCGTGCCTCTTTCTAGAGTGACCTTTTTAAGCAAACGTGGTCGGTTTCTCCAGGAAAGGGTGTTGAAATCACTGTCGGGCTCATTTAAGGGAATTTTCACCATGTCTGATGAAGTCCCTATACTCCCAACCCTCAGGATGTTGGGGCTCTTACTCCCCAGAGTATAGCTTATTTGACAATACTGAAAAATTTGTTTCATACATACACACAGCAATCTCTTTATATGTAAAGGTTGTTTTGCTGGGGGAAGTTTATATTGTATTAGAACAGAGCTCTTATTTCATCCATTCTCAAAAATAATCATTAAAGAAACGAAGACAGTCAAAAAGCAGTTCTTTTATTTGTATTCCACCCCTTTCTACAGTATATTTGAGTCAGCTTAGAAAGCATGGTATTTAAAAAGTAGAGAAATATCTATATATATAAATAAGGACCAGAAAATATACTCAAAGAGTAAGTCAGAAAGATAAAATATGGATATCAGGCCCTGAGGGCTGAGAATAAACTTAGAAGATGGAGAACGTGCCTTATGTGAGAGTGGGCTTATATTTCAGAGAGAAACCAGAGTGTGAATGGAACTTCCCAGTGCAAACAGCACCACAATATTACTTTTTGCTTAGCTTGTAGAATGTGCTGATGTTGGCCTATGTTGACATTTCTCTGATTCTGTAGTGGTGGGAGCTCTGAGGAGCTATTTTCTGGTGGCAGCTGGGAAATGCAGGTTCTGTGGATAGGGTTTAATAATTACTGTCTTTTGAGTCTTCTTCCTGTATTTTTACCTAGGCTAAGGGAATGGGTTGTGTGTGATGCAAAGAAGCAAGGGTGGGCGGGAGAAGAGGCAGTAATGAGAGCTCTCAGCGGGAAGGTTTGAGATCTTCTGCAGAGTTCATTGGAGCAGTAGTAACCTACAGCTGTTACAGAAGGCTGCATTTTCTGTACTTCTGATTAAATGAAACCAGAACGCCATGGATACTACTAGGGATTTGTTTTCATTTGTGAAACAAAGTGACCCGCAATTAAATTCATTATCATTAAGTGATTGGAATTGCCTTACCAGGCAGGTCCTGAAGCTGCCTTAAATTTATCAGGGGTCAGACTGGAAGAAAAGAGGGCTCTGTGTAGAAAAAGATATGTCCTACTTTTTTGTTATCGGTGACATTAGAATCTTTGTTCTTACAGTATGAAGAAATTATGTTTTTGATTAAAAATTTGTAGTGGGCCCTCAAGGGATTTAAAAATGGTGCTTTATGGTATTCGTGAATCTGCCTTTGTGGTAAATGTCAAGGGAACGGTAATTTAGTCAAACAGACCAGATGTTTCAAGGAAAGAACAAGGATTTTTTTTTTTTTCCCACATGATAAAGGTGGAGCAAATGCATAAATGTTAGCAGAATTGCAAACAGGTCCATGTTTTCAGGGTCTAGGGAAGAAATAGAGATTTTTACTGCTTCTCACTAACTGCTGAAGGCAGTGTCATAAATGGCAAAAGGTTAGGTGGGGGGGTGAACTTTGTAGCAATCATAAGGAATGTGTGGACTGTTTCTAACTGAGCAATGCCAGTTCTAGAGTTGATTCAAGGTGTTTTGACACCATAATTGATAGATTTACTACCTTTCAAATGAGAGTACTTCTAGATATAATTCAAACCACATAAGAAATCATCTTATGTGGGTTTTTTTGCAATAAGTGTTGACACTTGAGCAATGGGGGAAATGAAGAATTGTGTTGATATTAAGGAAATGAAAATTCAGCTGTTTTGTTTCCTTATCCTGTCGTCTGACTGAGAAAGGAGAGGCATGTTCCCTAAAGATAGACGCGGTTTCTCTGCTTCCACACCTAGCTCATTTCCCAGAGCATCTGGCCAGCTGAGTGACTGACTGGTCTCAGGCAGTACTGAAGCTCTCCTTTTGGTATGGGAGGGCTTTTGTTGTGGTTTTGTTTTAAGCTATTTTTTGATGATTGAGTTAGGGATTGAGAGGAATATGTTTTAAGGTTATGATTCTATGAAATACCTTATTTTTTGTAGGCAGGAAGTCAGAGTACGAGTGAAGAGATACTACCAAATAGAAAGAAGTATGTCCATAAAGATTTCTTTTTCTACTCTTTGCAAAGTAACTTCAATTTCTAGGCTCACCTTTATTTAACCAAACTTGTTTAGGAAAATCAGATAAATCAAAAATAGATAATGCTATGTGCTTCAGTTTTGATATAGCTAGTAATTCCATGCTAACCTAATGAGTGTTGATCTGTGTTAAACCATATTTCTGAAAGATAAATGTTTCAATTTTAGGGGTTGATAAAAACTTAAAAGCCAGATATATAGATAATTTTTAGAAAATATTCCTAATGTTCCTGTTCCTTCTTTAGGTGAGCTCTTAAAAATCTAAGCGCTGAACTGTGACAGGTTATAAACCATCTATCATGTGTTAAAATGGATCTGATTCAAAACCCCGAGTCTGTCTCTAAAAGACTGCCTTTTTTCAAAACCACAGGTGGTTTCTGAAGGTTTCATGGTATATGTCTTAGAGTGTTGAGTAGAGTACCTGTAAGTAGATTCCCCGAGTTCTGTTGAAAGGCACCTAATGCAGATTACATAAATTAATAACTGGATTTTGTTTGGGTTATGTATGTTGTAAAATGCACAAATCAGTGGGTTTGTCTTTAGTCACCTTATTCTCATTCGGGGTTGATGGAAATGAAGTAAGGACCAAGTAAACGACTTTTTTTCAGGTGCAAATTCGACCATGGAACCTAAGTGACAGTGACTTTGTAATGGATGGTTCTCAGCCTTTGGACCCCAGAAAAACTATCTTTGTTGGGGGAGTTCCACGACCCCTCCGAGCTGGTGAGTGGAAATAGTAACACCACAACAAACAAAACCACCAACAACAAAATCCCCAATGTATTTAGTCTTCAATATTTTCTAGATTTCTGCTCAGCTATACACAGTCTCCAAAAAGAAGTTTCACTGAGCTAACTCTTTCAGGATTAAACATTTTCTCCCCAAATGCTTTATTTTCTTAGGTATAAGAGTCAGTTTCATTAAACTGTTATTTTGAAAGGATGAATTCTATTCAGTGCTCTCAGCCACACATATTTTAAAAATAATAACAATACATTTGGCAGTGTGCATTCTCATGCTAGTCAGCATTGTTATGTGTGACAGAAAAAGAAGTCACCCCATCAGAAATCTGTCCAGCGCAGCTGTGTACCCCTCAGTGACAAGCCAAACCACTGCTAGGAATTGTGTCGCTGGGAATCAAACTGAACTCTTCCCAAGTGAAACAGATTCCTGTTTTTCTTAGGCACTTTGAAAAATGACTAATGTATTTGAACGTCTTTATTATGACTTTTTAAAAGCTTCCCTATTTTTTTCTTTTTTAAGTTCCTTTCCAATGACGAAATAATTGTGGGCTGAGATTGGGCGGAATCATAATTAACTGGGGCATTTGAAGTGATGCTGACCCAGTGACTTCAATATTTAAATCCAAAGATAAATCTAATCAGTTGCGGATCAGTGTTCTACCAGTAGAATACGATAAAATTATTTGTAAGAACGAAGTTTTTAAAGTGCTTAAAATAATTAAGTTCATTTTTCAAAAGTAAGATGAAAAAATAAGGTTACTATTGCCCTGTAGTTGCAAAAGTGCAATGTTCTCTCTGTTATTTGTAAGCAAGCAGACTCAGTTCTACCTAAAGAAGAAAAGAAAAGGCAGAGACCATTAAAATCAAGTAGTGAAAAAAAGAATTATAAAAGAATTATAAAAAAGAATTACAGCTAATTGTCTCTGACTTTGATGACTTCTTAGTTCTGAATGTGCGTCAACATTTCTAATGTATTTGTTCAAATCTCAACTTCAGTGTACTCCTAAAAGATAACCGTAGGCCTATCTAAAGATATATTCATAATTCCATTTTGAAGGACTTTATAACACATTAATTGTGATTATGAAGTTTGTAATTTTACAGTTTTTCAGAAAGTCAAATATCTTTAGGTCTTGTTCTCACTCTAACGGAAAACTGTGCCGAGAGGAAGAAAGGCATGCGGCAGAGATGCCTCCCTTTTATCTGCTGTCAGAGAATAGGGTCTGGGAAGGGCTAACGCAAACGTGAACAGCATTATGAGATGAGGGCAAATGTAGCCCTTTGTTTCTAAACTGCTTGTGTTTAAAAAAAAAAAAAAGTGTGTGGGGGCATGGAATATTCCTGTCTTTTTCTAACTGGTGTTATGTTTGGGAGGAGAGAGGGAGAAGAATCCCCTTTGATAGTCTTTTAATCGCATATGTATTCTAAAAGAATGGACATTCATTGCTAGCATTCTAGTTCGTTTTTTTTTTTTTTTTTTTTTTGCAGCGAACTACAAGTACAAATTAGTTTTCAGATTCTAGTCCCTCTCCTTTTTTTTTTCTAGATGGGGATCCGAAAAAAAAAAAAATTCTGAAACAAAAAGTCCCACAGTTCTAAAAATAACAGAACTGGCTTTAACTTTTTATGTCTGTTTTTAAGTCACAGACACAAAAGTTTAGAAACTAAATTCCCTTTTTTATTATTCACCCTTTTTGCTGTTATTCACAAGATACTGCAAGTCCTAGGATTAGACAAGAATTATATTCAGTTGTCTAGTCAGAAATGGGATTTTGTGTTCCCTACCTAGAGAGTATACCTTTTATAAGTCTCAAAGTTCTCTCTCTCTCTCTCTTTTTTAAGCTGAGCTAAAGCTTTTTGTTTTAAAATGATTGTGTTTTACATTTGTGTGGATAGTAATCTACTTTCACTTGGTCTAGTGAAAATGTTCCCCCATGCCAACACCTCCCATAAGTGTAGCTAGTTTCTAGATGGCTAAGCAATCTATATTAGCATCTTAGCATTTTACTCTCTATCCAAGCCTTCCAGATTGGAATCCATGTAATCTAAACAGAAAGAATTAACATCTGCAGCTTTTATCCATGTGCATAGAATTGGGTTTCTTTGCAACACACTGAGCTTTGTGGACTGGTGTGTGCCTTGGAATAGAAGACTATTTCTAAAGGAATTCATTTTGACTCTGCTAGGCAGTCTTGAATTGAATACAATGCAGTTCACTTGAACAATAAGCATTTATTGAGCATCCACGTGTTACTGGCACAGGGCAAGTACACGTCCGCGCCAAACTGAATGAACATCCCGCTGTCGTGTTAAACAGGTCATCATCTACAGAGTCAGAGATTTCAGAAGAGGAGAAAACAAGAAATGTATTAATAGAATGCTAACTCAGAAGTAATTGGATACTAAATTATATTCTTCAGCACAGTGATTCCCAGATTTGGTTTTTAAATACTTTAGGGCAATTTTTATTACTTCTAGAGGGTATTGTGGTCGTGGAATTCTGAAAAGTCTTAAAACTATCTAAGGCACTGTATGTAGGGTGATCCTGGACTAGACATGGTTGAATAGTACTCAACAGGTGAGATTTTTAGGTGTCCAGATGGATTTTCACCTCACCCCAGGCCAAAAATTGTCCTTTAACATGTTACAGTGACTAAAATGTTATCACTCAAGAATTATTCCTTTGAATCTTGTGAGGCTTTTTCTCTTTGATATCTTCCCATTGTTAGACAGGGACTATTATCACTAATAAATTATTCTAAATATAGTCCTTATCCTACCAAACAGAAACACACGAACCCTTCTAAAGAAACAAGGCAAGCTGTTTTAAGCAATATTGCCCTGGCTGAATTTAAGTTGGTCCTTCCAGTCTTTTTGACAAGCCTTCCTTTTTAAAATTCAGGTTGGAAAAAAAAAAAATCATAGGCCTAAAAAATACCTGAAAATGGGAAAATATCAATGGAAAATCTAGATGCTTACCCAAAGTTAGATTGCCTGATTGTTGGTTGCTCTGGGTTAAATAATACACTTCTTGTTGTTTCTTGTCCCTCCCTCCCATCGCTCGTCAGTGACAGTGGCAAGTCAAGGGTGGTTTGCCTTGAGTCTCTCGGTGTTCTTCAGGTCTTGTTCTCCTTCCACTCACCACCTCTTCCCACCCCCATCCTAGGAAAGGCTATAAGTAGACTCACCATGCCATCATGTGGCTATAAAGTTTACATATTCTTCAGAGAGTCAGTACCAGGAAAGGGGTAGTCTGTCTGGTTCTCTACTTGCTACCACCTGAAAGTACAGCATGTTGCCACTCTTCATTCAAGTAATGTAAACAGCATGTCTTCAATTCAGAAATAGCCCTATTGTATTTCCCTGTGGCATTAGGACCTCTCTAGAATGCATCTCTTTGCTCTGAGAGGAAATGAGTGCCAGGCTTAGGGATTATGAGGAGGCCACCAGGAAAAGGTGGAGAATGAAAGCATCTGGTTCCTGTATGATCCCCCAGTTTATAAACATGAGTGTTCTGACCCCAGCTTAGACTCTGACCCCAAGAGGCTTAGGTATCTAATCTGAGGACTGCCTCAGTGATCAAGCTTTGGGACCCAACCACTTCCAACTTTAATCATGCTTGGAAAACCCTCAGACTTCCTCTCTAATTAGGGACATGTGAGCTGTTCTTCCACTTCATGACTTCGTTCTGACAGTTTTTCTAACCGGGTCCTGCAGAACAGATCAATCTTGAGAGATTGCTTATCTGAGTCCCTGGAGCCCACATTTGCTCATCATCTTTGGGTCTCCTGCCTTTCCTATTGCTCTGATAACTCTTTACTGTCTGTTTTTCCCCTACTAATATTCTGTGGTGGATCCTGAAAATTTCCTTGTCTGCCTTTCCCCCCCCCCTCTATTATGAGGATGGCTTTTCTGGGAGGAAACAAAACAATAAAAAAAACTTTTGAGATAAATATTCAGTGACATGTGGCGTACCTTTAGAGAACATCCTGAATTTTTCTAAGAGCATTTATTTCAGACATTCTGTACAAACATTCTGGTAGTTCATATGTATTAAGAATCACATCCTGATTTGTGATTTAGGAAATAGGAGTATCGTAACCATATCCTTTTGTTGTTGTTGCTCTGTAAAGTGGTAGCAGGCAGAAATCATACCAGGTTTCTCAGTAGTAGAAGTTTTTTCTTTCACCAAGTCTCATGTTCAGTATGAATTGTCCCAGATAAACTCCAGATCTGGCACACTGACTTGATTAACTGGATTGTCTTTAGGGTATTTTCTAATGGTAGTACTTGCTTGTGTTCTTTTTCCCCCTGAAAAGCTAACGCTCACCCACAGTTGATGTCAAACTTTGCCACATCGTTGGCAGGTTGAGTGACATTAGCATAAAGCCAAAGTAAGACTGGGACGAATTGGTGCTTATGGAGCAGAAACCAGGCCAAGTTAATATTAAGCAAAGATTTAGGAGTAGAGAGAAGAACACCCTGTGGGCAAAACTAAACATTTGAGCAGCACTCTGTGCTGAGCCGTGTGTTCAGAGCTCTCGTGTATGTTTAATCGTCATGATAACCTCGTGAGGTTGTCAGTGGTAGACTTTTCATTTTAGTGATAAGGAAGTAGAGTTCAAAGGGGGTGATTGGCCAAGGCCACAGTAAGTAAGAATGCCAAGATTTAAACTCAGATTTCCAGACTTCAAGTATGGATGTTCTTTGCACAGAAGAAGGAAGCTTCTTTATCAAGCTGAGATCTGAGATGTTGTCTCAGTAACAGTATTTACAGTCAACTTGGTACCAGTCGGATTTAATCAAGTTAAACATTCAATCTCTCTTAGTTGGTTGTTCATACCACTTATTTGAAAATATTCTTAACTTCCCAACATTTGATGCAGAATGGAACCTTATGAGCACATTTCCTCCATTTAAGATGTGTGAACTGCCTTGTGAACCAACTCGGCAATTGTGGAAAACCTAGACAGTCCAGCTTCTAGTTGAATTGTGCTTTCTTTCCGAAGTCCAGACCTCTTCATCCTCCTGAGGTGCCTTATGCTTCTTTCCTGTCTGCTTTGTTCTTATTTCCAAGGGGAAGAAAATGTGGCTTCTAGATTCACAGTTTAGAATCTGGAAAGATGAATGTGTTGATATTTCCCTTGGGAGTTCTCATTCCTGCTCTACCCCATTTGGTTCTCATAGTGTCTCAGACTTAGACACTGCCTATGGCTGGCTTGGAAACATAATTAAATTAGATTTAATAAATTAGATTTTACTTGAGATCACAAGATACAGATAAATCCATGAAGGTTTTAGTTGACTTCTGCTAGATCCTTACTGCCTTTCTTCTGTTTTTCTCTCTTTCTCCCAGGTAGGAACAGGATCCTGGTGTAGGGTAGGATGCGGGAGTCATCATGATTTTCTCTCTGGTGAGCTAAGATCCCTTTTAGATCTCTGTGAAGATTCAGAAGCAAATCCAAGGATCCATAATTGGGGTTTAGATTCAATTTCAGAGGCATAGTGCCCACAACCCAGAGGAATTTATAGATTTCTATATGCTACACACAGCAACCGCACCATTCTTGTTTCCCTCTCCAGCGGTGGCACAGTGAAGCTCATCACAAGAGCCAGTATGTAGATTAGAGTCAGTAGCGTGTTGCTGTCACCATTCCTGAGAAGACTTGAGTTGTCTTAGGAGCACAGAGCATCTCATCCAAAGTACAAAATGCCATTGGATATAGCTACCATACCTGCTCATTTCCACCCCTGTGGTGACCAGACAGATCCTGTGAACACTGTCTGGGGAGGAGGGAAAAAATAAAAAGTGGTCTGAAAACTCCTGACGTCCACATGGACTCTGGCTATGCCTGCTGTCACTTCTATCTGTCTGAATTCCAGCCTCCACCTGTGTGCCCTGCTCCTGGGAGCTGCGCTCTCCCTGCCTTCGACAGAGGATGGTTTAGAATGAGGATTCACTGTCAGAGGCTTACTTGGTAGTTTGACTACATTTTCTGAATAAGACACATCCTTGATCAAAGGCTCACGTTTCATGAGGAGGGTTGAGATCACAAGATACAGATAAATCCATGAAGGTTTTAGTTGACTTCTGCTAGATCCTTACTGCCTTTCTTCTATTTTTCTCTCTTTCTCCCAGGTGGTCAAAGTGGGTAGCCCTCCTCATGGCTCAGCTTCACCCACATCAGAGGAAGGGAATCTGTATGAGACTTTCCTGTATTAACTGGTGATATTCACTTTAAAGAATCCTTTAAAACCTAGTCTCTAAAACTAGTTGTATATTTTGACATCTGTCGGTGAATTTTTATATTCTATATACAAAAGTGTTTCAGATTAGAAATTTTTAGGACTTAAGGAAGGCTTGTGCTGTGTTTCTTGTTAGTCACCTGTGTTGTGGATGAATTAGTCTCTCGCTCTCTCTCTTTTTTCTTTTTTTAAATGCTGTTTTTACCAAGCATGGCTACTTTTCTCAATAATTAGAAACTCTGTTTAGTACTTAAATAACATCACTCTGGTGTTAGAGCCCAGCATGAGGTTAGCCTGCAGGAAGTGTGCTTTTAGTGAAGATTTGCTGACTGAGTAGAGGACCAAATATAAACAGCTGTTGTTTGACTATTATTTACTTTTCTTCAAGGGTGATCACAGTATTAGACCTTCTGTAGTTAAAACATGGATTAGGGTGGAAAGAGAGATGGGAAATCTTCATACTCTTTCCCAAAACACTCTTTAGTCACCTTGGTTTCTTCTAGCTTCTCAACAAATTCCTTTTCACATGAGTGAGATTTCATTAGCTTAAATGACTTTTTGGTGGCCAAGAAAATGACTGTATATAAGGTTCTAAGTGCAAATGATTTATTTATAATTAGCTTTCATAAAAACATAAGTGAGTGAGGGTTTGCTTCCTATCAAAAATACTTAATTGCCAGCACCGTCAGTCATGATCTAATCTTTGGCAGGTGAAGATGATTTTCTAGCAGCTAGATTCACGAAGTAATAGAATGTTTGTTCTATGGAAGGCACTTTCTCTGACATCCAAGGATCCCTAAAAGTCCTTTGGAGACCACTAAGCCGTAGAAGAAACTTGTGGTTCTAGTAACTCTGTGGTTATAGTAACTCTCCTTAGCTGGAGCTTCAAGCTTACAGGTGGTATACCTTCTTTCTAAATCAGATGCGTTCCTGAGTCCTTTCTAAGGATGGAAGACAAGTGCCATTCAGCCCCTTGCCAGCATTCTTCTCCTGGCTGTTCACCAGGTTGACAGTGTTTACTCTTATTCCATTCCATGAGAAGCTTGGTCTTTGGAAAATTGGTGTTTAATTTCCAGTTCCTGAGGTTGCTTATTTTAGTAAGTCCATTGACAAATAAGGGAGATTCATTAATGACTGCATTTAATTATTTCTACCTTCAATGTCTTGGTCTCAATGTCTTGGTTACTGGAATACAATTAGCCATGTGAGGAAGTCCTCAAGCAATCAGACGTTGTTGGGCTGAAGTATGAGGACCCACTGAACTCTGATATTCAAGGCATGTGCGTGATTCTTACTGCATAATTTGAATGAATGTGATTCCTGGATCCTGCCCCAAGACTGCAGTCAGAGTCCACTTGGGCTGTAATCAGCAATGTTCTTTGGTTGATATGACTCAGAAATTCTGAGAAATTCTGATCATAATGGGATAATTGGGATAGCTTTCTGCTGTTCTGTCTTCAAAAGTACCTATTCTACGGCTTAGTTATTGCTAGCTTATTTTCTTACCTTCTGAAAATTCCAGAATCTGTTGGTTGCAGATCATTCTTCTTGAAAACAGGCACTCAGAAAACAATCACCAATATTACGTGGTCTGGTATGGAGAGAAATTTTGAAGAAGTTAAGTAGAAAGATATCCTTTCTGTCATAGCAACATAGCTTTTCTTACCGGCTCAGCAGCTTCATACGACAGGAACCAGTAATGCTTGGCTTTCCTTCTGTCCATAGAAATCTGGTGGGGTTCTTACACCGTTCAGCCCTTCAACTCTTGTATCTGCTACGAAGTTCCTCCTCTACCCCACTGGCTTGTGCTGCTGTCCTTCTCCCATGGAGGTCTGTTGTGTGATGTGACGGTCTTTGCACACTGGCCGTGACACAGGTCATCATCCAACTACCCTGTCTTCTCCTTTCTAAATACCGTATGTAGGTGTCTGAGGGAAGTGGGTTCTTGGGTCATTCCCTACGGGTACGGCTAAGTCTTCTGGACTTAAGTCATATGAGTAGCCTGAAAGAAATGGTCATACGTGGAGGAAGTGACATCCAGTATCGAGTAAACAATAACCTTCAGGCAATTTGGATCCAGGTAAGTAACTGCTACATGTCTCTCCTTGACACCTTTATGGTGAGGATAATTCTAGGATATCAGACCTTTGGAATGGTCCAGTTTCCAAATGCCTTCCTTATAGGTGTTTTGTAAATATACCAATATAAGGGTCTATTTAGAAGAAATGTGGCAAGGAGTGCAGACCAGACCTCTGGATTTATAGCAGAGTACAGTATGGGTATGTTTTTACTGCCTTCACAGCAGCTTAGTGTTTCCTAGTACATTGTAAGTGCTCAATAAATGTTCATTGCTGCTTTATCATTACTATTATTATTATTATTATTATTTAGAATTCAGTGTGAGAGGCTAGTGTGGAGATTTCTCAGTTGGGATAGAATATACTAAAAAAATACATATTTTTCATTGTAGAGATTTACCTTAAGGTTATAAATATATTGCCTGTAGTTAAAATGAGCAGTTAAGTCTTTCTATAGCTTAATCTTAATATAGCAGTGTGACTTTAGTAATTGCTTTCAGTCTTAGAGGTCAGTAAATAGGGCTATTTATAATTAACTTGTTAGGGCGTTGTTTGAAATGCTTTGCCTACCCAGGGCCCACTCCAGTGGACTAAACAGTTAGAAATTAGAACAGGAGGACTGCTGATAGATCATTCCTTTTATAATGTTGCTGAAGTTCTGATTATGTAAATTTGTGTATGTATTGTGTAAATTCTTAATTTTTTTTTTCATTTTATTTTTAAATATGAGGAGCTCCCCTACTTGAGTTGTAAGACTGATGTGGACACTCTTCATGACACCTAACATGGGTTTTCCTTTTCTTAATTATACTGCATGATCTTTAAGTAGTTCTTCCTGCTCCTGGGCAAATGTACGTTCTAAACATTTACACCGAATTGTGTTTGTTTTCTTGCAGTTGAACTGGCAATGATCATGGACCGTTTGTACGGTGGCGTCTGCTATGCCGGCATCGATACGGACCCAGAGCTGAAGTACCCCAAAGGGGCCGGCCGCGTGGCGTTCTCCAATCAGCAGAGTTACATTGCAGCCATCAGCGCCCGCTTTGTGCAGCTCCAACACAATGACATTGACAAACGGGTGAGCAGCCGCTTGGGGTATCATTGCTGCTGTGGGAAAGAAATGAAGTTTGTTTTCTGGGCCCCATGGGGAGAGAAGCACCTCGTGATCATAAGTGAGCAGCTCTACCTCACATGGTATCAGCCCATGAGTCCCTCCAGGCTGCCTGAAAAAGAGCATACCCACGGTATTTCAGGCGTTAATGAACCTTCTGTCTCACCCATCCCCAGGGTGATGTTACACTTATGAAAATAACCCTGCAGAATTTAGCTTACCCAACTGGAGCTGTTTAAAAGATGATGCCAACAGTGCATTAACAAAGGTTGCGAGCTGGTGACCTGTTTGACCCCTGTGGTGCTCTTAAAACAAGTAAGTTTGGACTCACATTTAATGTTAATGTTCAGGAGTATACATAAAATTTTGCAATTCTGATTTCTCTTAAAATTGCAAGGTCACACATGATAGCAATCACTGGAGCCGAAGTACTGCTGTCTCTTTGAGTCCCTCCAGTTCCCTGCCGTCCTATTCATACGTAACACACATGCGCATGCGCTTCCTGCCCTCCTGCTCCGGGGCGTTGCCTGCCTGGCCACTGCAGGCATTCTGATTTGCTCCCTTTCATCTAGAGAGGGGACACATGACGGAGTTGTAGAGAGTTGGTGTGCTCAGTCGGTTTTGTGGACAGACATAGGTCTAAATCCCTGAAATCCCAGCCCTGCCACTCTTTGGAAGTTTGGGGAAATAGAAGGTGGTAGGAGGAGATAATCTGAGACCTATATTAATGGATTAATAGAACAAATAGGAGAATAGATCAGGTATTGAACACCTCCCTTTGCAATTATACAGTGGCTGTTAACACTTCCAGCAAAGGATGTTCTTGGGGCATACATTGGACTGGGATAAATAAAGTAGGAAATACGTTCTTTTTTTTTTTTTTTTTTTAAGATTTATTTATTGAAGAAAGAGAGTGAGAGAGAGAGAGTCTTAAGCAGACTCCGCACTGACTGCAAAGCCCGACATAGGGCTCAGTCTCAGGACCCTGAGATCAAGACCTGAGCCAAAACGAAGAGTTGGACGCTTAACCGGCCAGGCACCCCAAATATGTTCTAGTATGAAGTTTTACCTATACTCTCTATGGTCGACTTTGACTAATTTTGTGTAGCTGACTTAAATTTCTTAGAAGGTGAAAGCTTCAGTTGGTGGTGGATTTTTAAATATAGCAAGTTATATTTTTATTAAGACATATATCTGATCAAATTTCAAAAGCCAGTGCCTAAAATAAACAGTTGCTACGTTACTGGGCTCCTTAAAAGTAAGTAGTGGTGGTTTGTTTGTTTTTTGATTAAAATAAACAAAATAATTCTTTCTCAGAATTTTGGAACACTCTTTGAATTAATGGAGACTCGGAGGTGTGATAAAGATTCAACTCCATTCCTAGCTTTCAAGGACCCCCTACAGACTGTAAGCTCCGCAGAGATAGGCACGGTGTCTGTCTCATTCTCTGCTTCATTCCCGGTGCTTACCCATTGCTTGGTGTATAGTTACGGTAGTAAGTGCTTGATAAACCTCTGTTGAATTGACGAATGGTTATACTCGCAGGGTTTTCTTTACTGCTGCTGGCGCCAGCGGACTTGCTTGTGCCAGTGCTTTCGTGAGTCTGAAACACCAGATTTTTAGACACCAGACATTTAGACAGCTATGCACTCACCACTGCTGACCCCAGGTCATAAAATTAACCTGAGGAGCCTTAGATTCTCATCTGTGTGCTTTCTTTGTTCCTCTCTGAAGCCAGAACTAGTGACTGGACAGGAGGTGGTACTAGGGATGATAGAGAAGGCTCCCTTTCCCCATGCTTCTATCTTCCCTTTGCCCCCAGGCTAACAGCCTCCTGGCCTATTCCTTAATGGAGGGAAGTACACTTGGCCCAGGGAATATGGCGATCTTTGAGCACCTTTTAAAATCACAGTAAACTCAGATGCTGTTTGTTTTGTTGCCCACCCCTACTCCTTCCCCTGCTATACTCAGGCCCTCAGTGTTTCTTCCCACAAGACTTAGACCTAGGTAAAAAGGAGAGAGGTGGCTTTGATTTTGTGAGTATGATCATAGGCCATGCTTATGAAAATGGTTTGGAACATCAAACTTCTGAGGACTCAAGAAAGCCATTGCCTATTTTCTGCCTGCTGCGTTTGGGTTAACTGTACCTTCCATCTTGCAGACTAGTCCTTGATAACATTTAGAGGAATAGCCAGTTGTAGTGGAAAGAGTATGGAGTTTAGAGCTAGAATAGATTTCAGTACTTTAAATCTCTGCTGCACTAGTCACTGGTGACCCCAAGTAAGTTAATTAATGCCAGGAGCCTTGGGTCCTCATCTGTAACTCCCTCCTGGGGATGGTCTGAAGAATAAATGGGATTTGAGGATTGAACAGCCAGAGCTGTATGACCTTTGGATAGATGTTTAGTAACTAGCATTTGATGGTTAACAGTATTCGTCTTGCTACAAATGCACTTAATACTGATGTTGTTAATATTATGTAGCTTGAATTTTATCAGTTGCTCGCTGAAGATGTAGTAAACAGACAGACTGGTCACACGGCTGGGTCTACATCTGGTCCTGTTCCCTGTGGGTTATACGACTTTGGGTAGATCACTTAAATGCTGAGCTTCAGTGTATGATGAAGGTGGTAGTAATAGCCCCATGGGAAACCTGGAAGAGGAGGTGGCATATACAACATAACACACCGTACATATGCGTAGTGGGACTGTTGCCATGGTCAAAAGAATGCCACCTCCATCCGCATGGTATCTAGAAGAGACCTGTCCATTCTGCAGTGCCCTGAGGTGAGAACCATCTAAGGGAGAGAATTAGAAATCATTAAAAGTGGCACAGTCCTCCTCTCCTCTGCCTCCCAGCTCCATCTTCATGCTCTTGTTTGCCCTGCCCAATATGGAGACCATTTCCTTCATTATGAGAGATACAAGCCAGCTTCCGTCTGGAGATAGGCTGCTCCTTTTTCAGTGTTCTTCTGTGAACATTACACTCCCTTCCCCCAAACTGTTACTCTGTCCTCTTGTTTTCTTCTTAATTTGAATGTAGCCAACAGTATCTTATTTTTTTGACTCTGGCATTTTGAGCCTCTGTTAACTGCACCTTTCTTAGATGCTTTTTAAAGTTTATTTATTTTTCTCCGAAAGCGTAAGTTTGAGCTTTCCAGAGAGCCCCCATTATATATAAGCACATCAGTATCTCCTCAGGTAATGCTCTTTCTTGGGCGCTCTGTTCTTGATTGTCTACAGAGAATTTCTCATTAGGCACAACCTTCTTTCCTGAATAACCCCTCTAGATTTTTAGCAATAGTCTCATAGCTAAGATTTTAGAACTTGCTGTCCTAAAAGTCAGGAGCAGATATCTTCCTGTGCCCATAATCCCTTTCCCTTACTATTGCAAATTCCAAGATGCTACAGTCCTATTCTGCTTCCTTCTTATGTTAGCCTACAGTTGCCTTTAAACCAAGACCTTGACTATTTTAAATAGCATCAACCTTTATTACCATTCTGGTCAAAGGAACTTCCTTTGTTGTCTGCATCATTATGAATGCAGATATAGTGCAATCAGTCAACTAAAAACAAACAAACTAACCCTACAGATAGCATTTTACAGTCCATTTGCTTGCTGTTTGCAGCCCCATAACCCTTTCATTTTTGCCCCATATGGAGAGTAAAAGAGGGCCACCTGGAGAGCAGCAATGCCAGGAACCATGGAAGTTCTAGGACTCTTTGAGGGGTGTGCTCTCAGGTTGTACCTTTCCTAGGTAAACTGTGGGAGGTTACATGAAGAATTTCACTAATGTATTTCCTTTACCTCTTGTATCCAACCAACTTTTCTCAAAAAAGACATCTCTTTTGAGAATTTAAGTATTTATGTATTTATTATTATTGTTGTTATTGCTGCTGTTTAGCTAAGTTTTTAGATGGAGTGGTCTATAGAGAAAACACAACCTTTATAGATTTGATTTCTTCTCATAGTCTTAGAGACTTTTTTGGTTTGCTTATGAATATAAAATAAGATATGTCAATATGCAACATCTGTGGGAGCTGTCGATTCTGTAGCTTTGGCACTTTTATGTCTCTGCTGTTCTTTCATTCATCCATAATGCCATCATCTTTAAGGAGGTGGCCTTTTTGTTTTTGTTTTGGTAACAGCATTATTTAGATATTATTCACATACCATACAGATCACCAATTTAAGCGTACAGGTCAACAGTTTTTAGCATATTTACATAGTTGTGCAGGCATCACCACAGTAAAATTTAGAACACAGGAAGAGGTACTGCATAGCCTTCAAGCCTGCACTAAGAGGGTGAACTGAACAATAACCCCCAGTGGGGAAGGGAGTGGGGACACTGCATTTATCCTACTTAGTTATTATAGGGAGGGGGTCCTCCTTATTTAACCTGTACTCTTTGAAGTCACAGGAACAAGGTAGCCCAGGCTGCGGAGACAAGCTTCTGACCCACACTATAACTGTAATTAGAGTCCCCCAAGAATATGTGACTTGTTGGAGTCGGCTGATAAATCCACACATCAACAAACTTCTTGCCATGGTCTGGCTAGCAATGGGAGGACTCATATGGTGCTTCCTTACAGAGCTGCCAGGATTTTGATTCTGCCACATGTGCCCAGAGGTCTGAATGGGAATGCTTGGCACATGGGTGGTGCTCAGTAAATGTGTAGAATAAATCAGGATGATGTATGGGAGAACAAGGACCGGAAGCAACCACAGAAGGCTGTCAAGGATACTGGAGTGAGTCACTCTCATCTCTCACCTGGATATCTAGAGGAGGTTCCCCACTGGTCTCCCCAGTTCAGCTTAGCCAATCGCCACTACATTCTTTACATAAAAACCAGAGTGACCTTTTAAAATCCTTTAAACCTTTTGGTTATGTTCTACTGTCATTAGGGTAAAGGTCAGAACCCTTAATAATACTGCCTACATGACCCTTCATGCACTATACACTTTTTT